ACACACACACACACACACACACACACACTGATGTCTAACTGCACACACACACACACACTGATCTCTAACTGCTCACACACACACACACAGATGTCTAACTGCTCACACTCACACACACACACACACTGATGTCAAACTGCACACACACACACACTGATGTCTAACTGCACACACACACACACACACACACACACACACACTGATGTCTAACTGCTCTCACACACACACACACACTGTCTAACTGCACACACACACACACACACACACTGTCTAACTGCTCACTCACACACTGATGTCTAACTCCTCACACACACACTGATGTCTAACTGATCACACACACACACACTGTCTAACTGCTCACACACACACTAATGTCTTAACTGCTCACACACACACTGATGTCTAACTGCTCACACACACACACACTGATGTCTAACTGATCACACACACACACACACACACACTGTCTAACTGCTCACTCACACACTGATGTCTAACTCCTCACACACACACACACACACTGATGTCTAACTGATCACACACACACACACACTGTCTAACTGCTCACACACACACTGATGTCTAACTGCTCACACACACACACACACTGTCTAACTGCTCACTCACACACTGATGTCTAACTGATCACACACACACACACACACACACACTGTCTAACTGCTCACTCACACACTGATGTCTAACTCCTCACACACACACACTGTCTAACTCCTCACACACACACTGATGTCTAACTGCTCACACACACACACACACACCACACACTCTCTCACACACTGATGTCTAACTGCTCACACACACTGATGTCTAACTGCTCACACACACACACACACACACACACACTGACGTCTAACGGCCTGCGGTTGCCTGTGTTCTTCAGGATGTGTGTAAGCTGCTGATCCACATGAGGCATCCGGAAGTGTACCAGCGGCTCGGAGTCGTTCCTCCGCGGGGATTCCTCCTGCACGGGCCGCCGGGGTGTGGGAAAACACTGCTCGCTCAAGCTGTGGCCGGAGTGAGTCACTGTAACTGTGTGTGTGTGTGTGTGTGTGTGTGTGTGTTTTCCACTGCTGAGCGAGTGTGTCTGGTGTGTGTGTAGGAGACGGGTTTGCCCATGCTGAAGGTCTCTGCGCCGGAGCTGGTGTCTGGAGTCTCTGGAGAGTCGGAGCAGAAGATGCGGGAACTGTTCGAGCAAGCCATAGTAAGATTCACACTCCTGAACACCTCCACCTCCAGAGCGTGAGTGAGCTTCCACGTGTGTCATATTCAGATGTTCCATTCCTGCACATGTCCACTGATGCTTATTTGCTGCTGTAACTAGTAGTAAAGAGGAAGAGATGATCGGTTCTTCTGGCACACACATTAAACACACACACACACATTTATGGACTGAATTTAGTGATGAAACTGACAGGATTTGAAAGCTGAGACTGTGTTTCACATCAGAAGTATCAAAGCTTACCGCTGTAATTGGACGGCAGGAGCTGCAGATGATGTGTAGTGAAGTTTTGTTCACGCATCTCCTGAAAACAGCACAGACTGAAAGACCGATTCTTGGGATTTATGAATCAATATCGGTTCATCAAAATGAAGATTGATAAAAATAAAATAAATTGATATTGTCAGCACAGCCCACAGGCACGTAAGCGGAGATTACGATCTATTTGCAGCTCAATAACTTCATTCACAATAAAGAGAAAGACGGTAAAAGACGCAACGGCTAACAGCACAGGACTGCACAAACCGAGGGCACATATACACAGGATAACAAGACACAGGTGCACAACATAACCAGTAACCATGGTAACAAACAGGTGACTAGAACACAGGCATTCGGAAGGAAACAGGAAGACAAGTATGCCTCTGAATAGGCTTTATGCCGAGCGTCACGTGACCAAACCGGAAAACGGGTCTCATTGCATCCGCTTCTCAGAGAAAGTGTTAACGGCCGTAAGAACTAACTATGATATATCTATGGCTTTTTAAGGTAATCAGCTAACCTACTCAGTTCACTTTGTTATTGGTGTTTTATGCTATTTAAATATCTAAACGTTACTGTGAAGAAGAAAAATTAAAAAACTTTTAAATATCAATCTGCACATGCGAGGGACATTGGTTATGCTCATTTTTGCTTGCTCCTTTTAAGTTATCTTGAGTAAAACCGGCAAAAATTTCATGAAGCACATACAAAAGACCTGAATCAGAAGCGATGTGATCTGTTTTCCGGCTTGGTCACGTGACGCTCGGCATAAAGCCTATTGAACCGAAAGTAAGGCTAACCGTGACTACAGTGTGTGTAGCCATAGCCTCGTCTCCACTGGAGTTTGTGTAACTGTAGTCTGTGTTGTTCCTGTAGAGCAGCGCTCCCTGTATCCTGTTCATCGACGAGATCGATGCCATCACCCCGAAGCGAGAGATCGCCTCCAAAGACATGGAGCGAAGGATTGTTGCTCAGCTTCTCACCTGCTTGGACGGTGTGTGTGTGTGTGTGTGTGTTAGTGATCACAAAACTCATGGCTCGGTTCATTTATGGTTTTTGAGCCACGGATCGGATCATTCTTCGTATCAGCAAAAATACAATGTATATCATTTTTATGGGTGGGGGGCGGGGCTTAAATGTAACTTTGCTTTACATTTATTACTTAAAGCTCACATGAAGTACTTCGATACCACATCAAAAACTACTAGCCTAACTGATAAAGTTCCAACATTATTAGAAACAAGTGAACAGTCAGTAATAAAATAAAAACAAATACACAAATTACAAGCAGAGATGAAACTAAATAACAAAGTTACAAACTCTTAGGCCTCGTTTACACTGTCAGTGAAATGTGACCCAATTCTGATTTTTTACTCGTATGCGACACAGATCGGATGTGTTCTATGGTGTGACGCTCGACACACACTCGTTCATGATGACGCTCGACACACACTCGTTTATGATGACGCTCGACACACACTCGTTTATGATGACGCTCGACACACACTCGCTCATGATGACGCTCGACACACACTCGTTTATGATGACGCTCGACACACACTCGTTTATGATTGTACTCGACACACACTCGTTTATGATGGCACTCGACACACACTCGCTCATGATGACGCTCGACACACACTCGTTTATGATGACGCTCGACACACACTCGTTTATGATGACGCTCGACACACACTCGCTCATGATGACGCTCGACACACACTCGTTTATGATGACGCTCGACACACACTCGTTAATGATGACGCTCGACACACACTCGCTCATGATGACGCTCGACACACACTCGCTCATGATGACGCTCGACACACACTCGTTTATGATTGTACTCGACACACACTCGTTTATGATGGCACTCGACACACACTCGTTTATGGTGACGCTCGACACACACTCGTTTATGATGACGCTCGACACACACTCGTTTATGATGGCGCTCGACACACACTCGCTCATGATGACGCTCGACACACACTCGTTTATGATGACGCTCGACACACACTCGTTTATGATTGTACTCGACACACACTCGTTTATGATGACGCTCGACACACACTCGCTCATGATGACGCTCGACACACACTCGTTTATGATGACGCTCGACACACACTCGTTTATGATGGCACTCGACACACACTCGCTCATGATGACGCTCGACACACACTCGTTTATGATGACGCTCGACACACACTCGTTTATGATTGTACTCGACACACACTCGTTCATGATGACGCTCGACACACACTCGTTTATGATGACGCTCGACACACACTCGTTTATGATTGTACTCGACACACACTCGTTTATGATGGCACTCGACACACACTCGCTCATGATGACGCTCGACACACACTCGTTTATGATGACGCTCGACACACACTCGCTCATGATGACGCTCGACACACACTCGTTTATGATGACGCTCGACACACACTCGTTTATGATGACGCTCGACACACACTCGTTTATGATGACGCTCGACACACACTCGCTCATGATGACGCTCGACACACACTCGTTTATGATGACGCTCGACACACACTCGCTCATGATGACGCTCGACACACACTCGTTTATGATGACGCTCGACACACACTCGTTTATGATGACGCTCGACACACACTCGTTTATGATGACGCTCGACACACACTCGCTCATGATGACGCTCGACACACACTCGTTTATGATGACGCTCGACACACACTCGCTTATGATGACGCTCGACACACACTCGTTTATGATGACGCTCGACACACACTCGCTCATGATGACGCTCGACACACACTCGTTTATGATGACGCTCGACACACACTCGCTCATGATGACGCTCGACACACACTCGTTTATGATGGCACTCGACACACACTCGCTCATGATGACGCTCGACACACACTCGTTTATGATGACGCTCGACACACACTCGCTCATGATGACGCTCGACACACACTCGTTTATGATGACGCTCGACACACACTCGTTTATGATGACGCTCGACACACACTCGTTTATGATGGCACTCGACACACACTCGCTCATGATGATGCTCGACACACACTCGTTTATGATGGCACTCGACACACACTCGCTCATGATGACGCTCGACACACACTCGTTTATGATGACGCTCGACACACACTCGTTTATGATGGCGCTCGACACACACTCGTTTATGATGACGCTCGACACACACTCGTTTATGATGACGCTCGACACACACTCGCTTATGATGACGCTCGACACACACTCGCTCATGATGACGCTCGACACACACTCGTTTATGATGACGCTCGACACACACTCGTTTATGATGGCGCTCGACACACACTCGTTTATGATGACGCTCGACACACACTCGTTTATGATGACGCTCGACACACACTCGTTTATGATTGTACTCGACACACACTCGTTTATGATGGCACTCGACACACACTCGCTCATGATGACGCTCGACACACACTCGTTTATGATGGCACTCGACACACACTCGCTCATGATGACGCTCGACACACACTCGTTTATGATGACGCTCGACACACACTCGTTTATGATGGCGCTCGACACACACTCGCTCATGATGACGCTCGACACACACTCGTTTATGATGACGCTCGACACACACTCGTTTATGATTGTACTCGACACACACTCGTTTATGATGGCACTCGACACACACTCGCTCATGATGATGCTCGACACACACTCGTTTATGATGGCACTCGACACACACTCGCTCATGATGACGCTCGACACACACTCGTTTATGATGACGCTCGACACACACTCGTTTATGATGGCGCTCGACACACACTCGCTCATGATGACGCTCGACACACACTCGTTTATGATGACGCTCGACACACACTCGTTTATGATTGTACTCGACACACACTCGTTTATGATGGCACTCGACACACACTCGCTCATGATGACGCTCGACACACACTCGTTTATGATGACGCTCGACACACACTCGTTTATGATGGAGGGAAAATAGCCGATTGCAGAAACTTAGTTTTATTACTGATATTCTGTGCCAATTTCCCAGGAAGTGATGATTTTGTTCTCTTGAACACATCTGTGAATAAAGCACATCTGTGAAAGACTCCTCAAGGCAGTTTGCATCACATTTTTTGTGACTTGTGAGAACGGCACATCCACAGCCTTCCAAAACTCTTCCTTTCCAAGACATCAAAACTAAAACTAGACTGAAGCTTGATATGATATATGATATGACTTTGTTCTGTCAAACTTCTTCTCACTGATACTTAGTTGGTTTAGGGGATTTTTTTTGTTCAATCGGCCCCTATCGTTTCTGAAAATAGTACAATATAAAGCCTGTTAACGAAACGATGCGTGCATCAGCGGGCGGTTGTGGCATGGTGCGAGGAGGAAGAACAAACAGGGCTTTATAACTGAAGCTGTCAATCATTCAGTTTAGAGTGTGTACTGTTACTGACACTCTAAACTCTTTCTATAAACCCATCGTTGTCTCTTTAAAAGACTTGGATTTAGATTAAACTGCTTGATTATTTTCACGATTCCTTTATGATATTTTTTTTAGATCTTTTAAGTTTTAGGGGAATTGATTTTAAAGGGGACATATCATGCTAAATCCATTTTTTTAGCCCTTAAAAGGAACACTCCGACTTTTTGGGACTTTAGCCTATTCACCTTATCCCCCAGAGTTAGAAAAGTCCATACATACCTTTTTCATCTCCGTGCGTGCTATAAGTCTGTTTGACGCACCCACCGCTAGCCTAGCTTAGCACAAAGACTGGATGTAAATGGTTGCAGCTAGCATACTAATCCAAATAAGTGACAAAATAACGCAAACATGTTTCTATTTACATGTTGTGATTTGTATAGTCACAGAGTGTACAAAAAACAAAGTCACATGAGACACAGACATATTTTAACCGTATAAATACTGGGAACTATATTCTCTGAAGGCGACTATATATTCTCTGAAGGCGAAGCACTGCTACTTGGGCGGAGTGATAACCGCAGCACCTGAGACGTGCGTGGTGAGGAGCAGAGAGTTCGTCTCAGGTGCTGCGGTTATCACTCCGCCCAAGTAGCAGTGCTTCGCCTTCAGAGAATATAGTTCCCAGTATTTATACGGTTAAAATATGTCTGTGTCTCATGTGACTTCGTTTTTTGTACACTCTGTGACTATACAAATCACAACATGTAAATAGGAAAATGTTTGCGCTATTTTGTCACTTATTTGGATTAGTATGCTAGCTGCAACCATTTACATCCAGTCTTTGTGCTAAGCTAGGCTAGCGGTGGGTGCGTCAGATAGACTTATAGCACGCACGGAGATGAAAAAGGTATGTATGGACTTATCTAACTCTGGGGGATAAGGTGAATAGGCTAAAGTTTCAAAAAGTCGGAGTGTTCCTTTTAAGGGCTAAAAAAATGGATTTAGCATGATATGTGTTCCTTTAAATGCATTTTGTTGTATATTTGGAGTGTTTAGAAGTACAGAAAAGTTTAAATTATTCTCTTCAGGTGCTTCGTTGATATCTTTATATTCTGTTTTGGTCATATTTTTCAACCTGTTCCGATTTTTCTGTTCTCTATGACGTGTTTTGAACTATTACGTCACAGTATTTGCAGCGGAACTGCCAAATAAGGACATCGACTTCCGGCCCACCACTTCGAGCAATCCGCCATTTTTATTTCTCGCTGCAATTTTGTAGTCCAAGCTAAAGGATGCAGAACTTACGAGAGGGTAAGTTAAAATGTTCGGTTGTTGGATGTAACCCACACGCTTCATTACACCGTCTAATGTAGATGAACTGCCGTGCTTGTGTTGTGACAGGGCGCATGTTTAACTGAAAGAACGAGCAGAGAGAGAGAGAGACCCGGTCGCGCGCGCGCACTCTCTTTCTTCGGAGCCAGGCGAAAGTGTAAACAAGACTTCACAGTCTCCAAACTAGGCGTTGTCTTGCTCTCTCTCCCTCGCACATATTAATCAAAATAAATCAATACGGTGGTAAAAGGTCGGAAGACCAAAGTTTCATGTGTAAATAATACAGTAACACATTGCGATACATCCATATGAAGACGTTGTTCTGCAGGTTCGTCGTCTTCATTTTCATCTCGCTCCGGCTCCGACTCTGGCTAGAACATGTAAGGCTGGCTGGACAAGTCTTCCGTTGTTGACATTTTCTTAATAACGTGTGAATAAAACGTTTCTGTGCCGCTAGATAATCGTATCTCTGCTATCAAACTATACAAACTATGGCCGAACGGGGTGGAGTTGAACCGAGTGTCACCCTGTCTATGGTGTCACCGGGGGCGGGGTATGAAGTGTCTCAATTGTATTTAAAGAGACCGCACCAAAACGAGTTGCTCTCAGACGCACATCAGAAAAGGGGTAGAAAAGGGGCCTGTGGAGCTATAATAATGAGGAATTCAGACCCAGGCATTGCAGTTCCGCTTTATATAGACTACAAATGTATGATTTATATGTAAAAAGGAACGATTTAAAAGCATGATATGTACCCTTTAAAGGGAGGGTTAAACTCTCAGGTTTCATAATATGTTCATTATTGTTTGGAAGAAGAATGAAAACCTCATAGGTTTGAAACCACATGACAGAATACTTTATAAATACAGTGTGGCGAGTCTTGGATAAAACTAACTCTATCGTGAATCATATCATTTACATTAACGATACATAACTGCGCATTTTCATATCGCGATATAACTATGTATCGTTACACACCTAATTTTAGCATATATTATTACTACTACTACTATTCACCTATATATCATATAAAAGCATGTCATCAAATGCAACAGATTTGATTTGACTGGACAGTTGAAATATTATCATTAATTTCCTAAGGAGCAAAAATAAGTTATGAGTGTTAAATAAACACGAGAAATTTGGCATTGGATTTGTAAGTACGTAGATTATCCCACACGGCAGCCAATCAGCAAACAAGAATAATTCATATGAACTTTCACAATGGAAAACAAGAAACAAGCACATGTGACACTGTGTGAATGCTAGACGCTCCAAGCTGATTCACTGGAAGTGCAAAAGCTGCGCTACAGAAAACTGACTACACTGATGCTATAGACATGATACCCCGTCGAGTCGTTGGTGTAAACTGTGTTAATGTAAATAAAGTGCTCTTATTGTAGGCTATTTTAATAATAAAAAAAAAAAGTTACACATGTCCTTCGTAAGCAAAGCAAAACGAACATGCATGAATGGGAAAATAAAGTGTGGGACGTGCTTGATGTTAAACAGAGTTATTAAGTGCAGTAACCTGAAAAAGATCTCAATGCATTACACACACACACACACACACACACACGAAGCGGTGCACAGAAAGCCGTGTCCCTCAGACAGCATGTGGTCTCTGTAAAGGAATACTGAGCTTGAGCGGACAGACACGCAGAAATATTTTTAAATTCTGTCTTGACAAGCATTCACGTAAACACAGTTGGTTTGGTTATGTCATAAATGGATGTAAACAGTTGGGGGGGGGTCTGATGTGTAGCACTATATTAGATCTGTGCATTATGTCTTAACATAATAATCCTGCTGCTGTCTGTCTGTCATTAATGTTGATCAAACGACAAGAGAAACTGAATAACTTTTGTAGCTTTAATAATTTATTTATTGATAATAAATACACTAAAGACTCTATATTCCCGGTTCCGGCTCTGAGAGACACACCTGTTAGACGCCCGAGGTCCTCCCCCACCGAGGTCCTCCACAACACTGCCAAGATATTGTCCAGACCTGTCGGAGAACAGAGACGTGTTCAAGAGCAGTTTCTCACTGTAATCAACACACATCTCCATAAACAACGATAATGATGAAAATACATGCCACACTATTGTCCATTTAGGTTTCATGGTGACGCAGAACGGTTGTCTGTAAGGGGAGATACGAGAGGCAGTAACCCGCTGTACGACGGCTTTCAAAAATCACACAAATCAGTGAGAACAGATAAACAGATGCAGACATGCAAGCGGCTGGAGTGAGTGAGCGCAGAGTTTAGTAGCTGGCATGAAATCTGTTTTCTACATGCATGTAATTGATCTTATTGTGAATGATTCTTCCATGCATACTTTTATTTTGAGCTGTCTCCGGTGAAGGAACAGTCTTCTCTCTGGTGCGTAATGCTTCTCCAATAAAGTGGTCCACTGAATCCCTGCCCGTCCACAAGCGCACACGCGAGGGCCACGCCCACATCTCAAGCTAATCAACAAACCATGGATCAAAATAAAAGTATATTTCTACTGTGGATTTCCTTTTTCACGGCAGCTTTACCAGCCGCTGGTACTCGTTTGGCAGATGTAAAGAGAACTGAAACGGGTACTCTGCAAGAAACCCCACACTGACGGACGATTGCGGGACGCTTCCTGCGGTTCAGGGCAAACCTGCCTGTACACAATGAGTCACATGACCTGCCTGTACACAATGAGTCACATGACCTGCCTGTACACAATGAGTCACATGACCTGCCTGTACACAATGAGTCACATGACCTGCCTGTACACAATGAGTCACATGACCTGCCTGTACACAATGAGTCACATGACCTGCCTGTACACAATGAGTCACATGACCTGCCAGCAGCAGCGGCCAGTCGGTGTGTGGTTTATTATGATGTATAAATAGGTACTACCATTTATAAATAAATAAAAAATAAGGCATCTGCAGGGTTTTTAAAATTAAATGTACACCTTTTAAGAACTTTTGCACAAAAAAAATTAATGCTGTATTGGGGGGGGGGTCAATGTATATGACTAATATTCAGCAATATTACTGATTTGCCTGCAGTGACCCTATTGGATGAGATCTCAACTAAAGGCTACACGACTTTTAAACAGATTAAAACACCAAGCCAGGGGTTTTCAGAAGGGGTCGTATTTCCGGACTATTTTTTTTATCATCTGAAACATGTTACAATTTAAATTCCAAAGTTGGGCTACTTATATAATGCATTTAACGTCAAATAAGTAAACCATAAGACACTTAAAAGTAGGCACTTCAAGGTTTCTAAAGATATATTGTTCATATCTGTGTGTAGTAGGCAGTACTTTCTGCTGAATTTGGTACATGGCTTCAGGCCGTCGTTCATGGACACCGAGACGGCACACGCATTTTTGTTTGTTTTCTTTATTTTGCAAAAGTATGATGTTTTGCTGTTATTTTGAAGGTACACAAATAAAAATATATTGTTTACCGCTTTTGAATGATATCTTACTCTCGTCTGACGGAGTATTTTAAGTTGTAGGCTATATGGTGTCAAGAAAACACATGCAAATAGAAGAACATCTGCCTCAGTTTGACAACGCGTGCTGCAAACACACACACTCTCTCTCACACACACACACACACACACACACACAGCTGTGTATAGCAGAGCACAGTGGAAGTGTTATGGGGACCCGAGGTGGCGAACGTCTACGCGTCAGCGGTGTCATGACCGGAAAGATGCATGTGTTGTGTGTGTTAACATCCTGACTGTGTGTGTGTGTGTGTTAGGGCTGCACAATTAATCCAGTTTGTAATCGTGATTACAGTTACGGGTGCCACAATTATGCAAACGTTCAAAGAAAAATCCACTTACATTATTCTGTGCTTAAGATATGCTTATCTTAAGGGTTAAAACATCATTCAATGTAAATTGTGATAATCGCGTAATTACAATTTCAAGGGAATAATCGACAGTGATGTTTTCTTGATTCGCTGGTGTTTCTTCTATTTGCATTAGAGCTGTGCAACATTGACTAAATATTACATCTCTACATTTTCTTGGATTTTATCGATAATGATAATTAGACAATATTTTGCTGAGTGTGTTTATTGACAGTCGACTCCTAAAGTTTTCCATATTCTGTGTTATGGTTAGTTTGCAGCAACGCCAGAAATGATCTTTTCCAATAAGTTTAAATAGATTTTTTACCTTTTAAGGGCATTTTTAACCCAATTAAATCCTATGCAGTGTTTTTTGTCTCAAATTCTACTGTACGACAGTAATATATTTCGGTCTCAATTTCTTCAAGTTAAACCAGGCTTATTTTGACTGCCATGAGACCTTTGAGATTAACCACAGCTCAGTGCTTCACAGTCAAACTATGTGACATTATTAGAAACTACACTTATTTATGAAATGCAATAGTAATTTATGTTTGTAACACATTATTTTGCACCATCACAGGCTTACAATTTTCAAAAGGGAACCTTGAAAAAAAGCATTTATTTCTTTAGCAAAATAAATAGTTTGAATAAAACAAACGTTTAGTCAACACAAACAGTAAACAAACTTATTTACATTTTCATTTGTTGAAGTTCTTTCAATTCTGCATTGCTGACTGACATTTGCTTATCTGTCAATCACGCTCATGCTGAACTGCACATGAACGCGCATTTAAAAAACAACTTTCAGACGAACGTGAGCGCGCAGAGAGCTAGCAATACACATAACTCTATATGAATATCAATATCGCGAAGAGAAATAGACCGAGTGGATCACAGTGAAACGGAAGTTCGTCGCGTCTATGATTCGAGCACCGAAAGCCAAAGATTAACGGGGTTTGGTCCGATCCTGACGATTAGCGTTAGCATGCTAACTGCAGGAATTAGTGCCCACATTTCTATTAAACTACCGTGAAGAAACAATGAAACCAGAGTGTTCTGCAGGGAGTGCTCATCTTACCCACAGAGTGAATGAATTCAGACCTCCAGCAATCCGCTTCCTGGCGAGAAACAAACCTTTCATTCGTGCACAACCGCTTCGTGCACGGACTCGCCATTTTCTACTGTGAGTGATCACGTGAACGCGCACGTTCACTGATAGCGCACATACGTGTCGCTTCGGCATGTGACGTCATGACGCACCCGTCCTCTTTTTCTGCGGTCGACGAACTGACACACACTACAGTCGTGCAGTAATTATTATTATTACATTATTATTATAATTATTACATCATTAGGAGAAAAAACAAACACATTTTCTTTGGTTAATACCTCTGTAATATTGTAAAAGTGATAGTGGCTGGCGTCTCCAGGCCGACAGGTGGCGCTGGCGTGTGTTGAGTAGCAGCGATCAGCGTGTGTGTGTGTGTGTGTGGTGTGTGTGTGTGTTCAGTTTCCACATGTAACGTTACAGTAGCGTGATGCTAAAGATGGATCTGTAAACTTCTTAAACTGTCTTTAGTGTTTCTCCTCCTCCTCGTTTAAACTCTACATTAATGAAACTTCGTTCGTGGCTTTATGTGCGATAAACCATGAGGAACCGCGGCGCTTATAATGTAGACCCGAGACTCAAACACCGAGTCCATCAGGTAAAATTAAAGCTTTATTATTATTATCATTCAGATAATATTATACTGTACAATAACTAATAATAAAGTAATCTAAAAAAAGCTACACGAAGACAGCCAGGGGAAACTAAACATACAATAACTAAATAAATAAAAATACGAAGGAAAGTATTTGTTCCCCAAAGAGTCTGTAATGATTTTAATGTGCTACTTATTGATTTTAATTTATTAACTTAAAAAATTGGCTTGTCTATGTTTACCTAGCAAGTTTAAACATCAGATGGTTGTGTGAATGCCTGTATAACACATGATATTCCTCCTCATGCTTCCTTCCCATATAAACATTGTATACAATCAATATGTGTGTTGTGTGTGTGTGTGTGGCCCAAAGTATCAAACGGTAAGATTTGTTTATGTTTTAAAAGAAGTCTCTTCTGCTCATCGAGGCTTCATTTATGTGATCCAAAATACAGCAAAAACAGAAATATTTTTTACAATTTAAAATAAGCTTTTTAACATAATAAATGTCTATACTGTCACTTTTGATCAATTTATTGCATCATTGCGGAATAAAATGATTAATTTCTTTCTTTTAAACTTGGCCCCACACTCTTGAACGATAGTGATAATGTTACAAAAGCTTTCTATTTCTGATAAATGCTGTTCTTTTTAACTTTCTATTTATCACAGAATCCTGAAAATAAATTGTACACAACTGTTTTCAACATCGATAATAATCATAAATGTTTCTTGAGCATCAGATCCTCATATTAGAGTGATTTCTGAAGGATCATGTGACACTGAAGACTGGAGTAATGAATAAATTACACTTTACTATATATTCACATAGAAAAAATATTTCACAATATTACTGTTTTTTCTGTATTTTAGATCAAATAAATGAAGCCTTGGTGAGCAGAAGAGACTTATTTTTAAACTCTTACCGTTCTAATAATTTTGTCCACCACTGTATATATATATACATACAGGTCCTTCTCAAAAAATTAGCATATTGTGATAAAGTTCATTGTTTTCCATAATGTAATGATAAAAATTAAACTTTCATATATTTTAGATTCATTGCACACCAACTGAAATATTTCAGGTCTTTTATTGTTTTAATACTGATGATTTTGGCATACAGCTCATGAAAACCCAAAATTAGCATATTTCATCCGACCAATAAAAGAAGTGTTTTTAATACAAAAAAAAAGTCAACCTTCAAATAATTATGTTCAGTTATGCACTCAATACTTGGTCGGGAATCCTTTTGCAGAAATGACTGCTTCCAGTGCCTTCTGGACAGTCAGGTCGGCAGTCTTACCCATGATTGCGGTTTTGAGTAATGAAACAGGCTGGGAGTTTTTAAAAGCCTCAGGAATCTTTTGCAGGTGTTTAAAGTTAATTAGTTGATTCAGATGATTAGGTTAATAGCTCGTTTAGAGACCCCTTTTTTATGATATGTTAATTTTTTGAGACAGGAATTTTGGGTTTTCATGAGCTGTATGCCAAAATCATCAGTATTAAAACAATAAAAGACCTGAAATATTTCAGTTGGTGTGCAATGAATCTAAAATATATAAAAGTTTAATTTTTATCATTACATTATGGAAAATAATGAACTTTGTCACAATATGCTAATTTTTTGAGAAGGACCTGTATATATATGTGTGTTTGTGTTTGTGTATGATGTATTTTCAATGGTCTCTCCCACATCTGCCTGTTTCAGTTCCTGAAGACACACGATGATCAGTATGTGGATATTTCAGCCATGGCCTCTGAGCTTCAGCAACAGTTCAGGTGCGTTTCCTCATCAATCTCCTGCAGAACAACAGAAGCGAGTCTGAGATGTGTTCGAGTCTGAGATGTGTTAGAGTCTGAGATGTGTTAGAGTCTGAGATGTGTTCGAGTCTGAGATGTGTCTGAGTCTGAGATGTGTTAGAGTCTGAGATGTGTCTGAGTCTGAGATGTGTCTGAGTCTGAGATGTGTCTGAGTCTGAGATGTGTTTGAGTCTGAGATGTGTTTGAGTCTGAGATGTGCTTGAGTCTGAGATGTGCTTGAGTCTGAGATGTGCTTGAGTCTGAGATGTGTTTGAGTCTGAGATGTGTTTGAGTCTGAGATGTGTTTGAGTCTGAGATGTGCTTGAGTCTGAGATGTGTCTGAGTCTGAGATGTGTCTGAGTCTGAGATGTGTTTGAGTCTGAGATGTGTTTGAGTCTGAGATGTGTCTGAGTCTGAGATGTGCTTGAGTCTGAGATGTGTTTGAGTCTGAGATGTGTTTGAGTCTGAGATGTGTCTGAGTCTGAGATGTGCTTGAGTCTGAGATGTGTTAGAGTCTGAGATGTGTCTGAGTCTGAGATGTGTCTGAGTCTGAGATGTGTTTGAGTCTGAGATGTGTTTGAGTCTGAGATGTGCTTGAGTCTGAGATGTGCTTGAGTCTGAGATGTGCTTGAGTCTGAGATGTGTTTGAGTCTGAGATGTGTTTGAGTCTGAGATGTGTTTGAGTCTGAGATGTGCTTGAGTCTGAGATGTGCTTGAGTCTGAGATGTGCTTGAGTCTGAGATGTGTTTGAGTCTGAGATGTGTTTGAGTCTGAGATGTGTTTGAGTCTGAGATGTGTTAGAGTCTGAGATGTGTTTGAGTCTGAGATGTGCTTGAGTCTGAGATGTGTTTGAGTCTGAGATGTGCCTGAGTCTGAGATGTGTCTGAGTCTGAGATGTGTTTGAGTCTGAGATGAGCTTGAGTCTGAGATGTGTTTGAGTCTGAGATGTGTTAGAGTCTGAGATGTGTTAGAGTCTGAGATGTGCTTGAGTCTGAGATGTGTCTGAGTCTGAGATGTGCCTGAGTCTGAGATGTGCCTGAGTCTGAGATGTGTCTGAGTCTGAGATGTGCTTGAGTCTGAGATGTGTCTGAGTCTGAGATGTGCTTGAGTCTGAGATGTGTTTGAGTCTGAGATGTGTTTGAGTCTGAGATGTGTTTGAGTCTGAGATGTGTTTGAGTCTGAGATGTGCTTGAGTCTGAGATGTGCTTGAGTCTGAGATGTGCTTGAGTCTGAGATGTGCTTGAGTCTGAGATGTGTTTGAGTCTGAGATGTGTTTGAGTCTGAGATGTGTTTGAGTCTGAGATGTGTTTGAGTCTGAGATGTGTTTGAGTCTGAGATGTGCTTGAGTCTGAGATGTGTTTGAGTCTGAGATGTGTTTGAGTCTGAGATGTGTTTGAGTCTGAGATGTGTTTGAGTCTGAGATGTGTTTGAGTCTGAGATGTGCTTGAGTCTGAGATGTGCTTGAGTCTGAGATGTGCTTGAGTCTGAGATGTGTTTGAGTCTGAGATGTGCCTGAGTCTGAGATGTGTCTGAGTCTGAGATGTGTCTGTGTCTGAGTCTGAGATGTGTCTGAGTCTGAGATGTGTCTGAGTCTGAGATGTGCTTGAGTCTGAGATGTGTTTGAGTCTGAGATGTGTTTGAGTCTGAGATGTGTTTGAGTCTGAGATGTGCTTGAGTCTGAGATGTGCTTGAGTCTGAGATGTGCTTGAGTCTGAGATGTGCTTGAGTCTGAGATGTGTTTGAGTCTGAGATCGATGTGTTTGAGTCTGAGATGTGTCTGAGTCTGAGATGTGCTTGAGTCTGAGATGTGTCTGAGTCTGAGATGTGCCTGAGTCTGAGATGTGCTTGAGTCTGAGATGTGTTTGAGTCTGAGATGTGTTTGAGTCTGAGATGTGTTTGAGTCTGAGATGTGTTTGAGTCTGAGATGTGTTTGAGTCTGAGATGTGTTTGAGTCTGAGATGTGTTTGAGTCTGAGATGTGCTTGAGTCTGAGATGTGCTTGAGTCTGAGATGTGCTTGAGTCTGAGATGTGCTTGAGTCTGAGATGTGTTTGAGTCTGAGATGTGTTTGAGTCTGAGATGTGTTTGAGTCTGAGATGTGTTTGAGTCTGAGATGTGTTTGAGTCTGAGATGTGCTTGAGTCTGAGATGTGTTTGAGTCTGAGATGTGTCTGAGTCTGAGATGTGTTTGAGTCTGAGATGTGTCTGAGTCTGAGATGTGCTTGAGTCTGAGATGTGTTTGAGTCTGAGATGTGTTTGAGTCTGAGATGTGCTTGAGTCTGAGATGTGCTTGAGTCTGAGATGTGCTTGAGTCTGAGATGTGTTTGAGTCTGAGATCGATGTGTTTGAGTCTGAGATGTGTCTGAGTCTGAGATGTGTTTGAGTCTGAGATGTGTTTGAGTCTGAGATGTGTTTGAGTCTGAGATGTGTTTGAGTCTGAGATGTGTTTGAGTCTGAGATGTGCTTGAGTCTGAGATGTGCTTGAGTCTGAGATGTGTTAGAGTCTGAGATGTGTTAGAGTCTGAGATGTGTTTGAGTCTGAGATGTGCTTGAGTCTGAGATGTGTTTGAGTCTGAGATGTGCCTGAGTCTGAGATGTGTCTGAGTCTGAGATGTGTCTGAGTCTGAGATGTGCTTGAGTCTGAGATGTGTCTGAGTCTGAGATGTGTCTGAGTCTGAGATGTGTCTGAGTCTGAGATGTGCCTGAGTCTGAGATGTGTTTGAGTCTGAGATGTGTTAGAGTCTGAGATGTGTTAGAGTCTGAGATGTGTTAGAGTCTGAGATGTGCCTGAGTCTGAGATGTGCCTGAGTCTGAGATGTGTTAGAGTCTGAGATGTGTTAGAGTCTGAGATGTGCTTGAGTCTGAGATGTGCCTGAGTCTGAGATGTGTTAGAGTCTGAGATGTGTTAGAGTCTGAGATGTTTTAGAGTCTGAGATGTGCTTGAGTCTGAGATGTGTTTGAGTCTGAGATGTGCTTGAGTCTGAGATGTGTTTGAGTCTGAGATGTGTTTGAGTCTGAGATGTGTCTGAGTCTGAGATGTGTCTGAGTCTGAGATGTGTTTGAGTCTGAGATGTGTCTGAGTCTGAGATGTGTTAGAGTCTGAGATGTGCTTGAGTCTGAGATGTGTCTGAGTCTGAGATGTGTCTGAGTCTGAGATGTGTCTGAGTCTGAGATGTGTCTGAGTCTGAGATGTGTCTGAGTCTGAGATGTGCCTGAGTCTGAGATGTGTTAGAGTCTGAGATGTGTTAGAGTCTGAGATGTGTTAGAGTCTGAGATGTGTTAGAGTCTGAGATGTGTTAGAGTCTGAGATGTGTCTGAGTCTGAGATGTGCTTGAGTCTGAGATGTGCTTGAGTCTGAGATGTGCTTGAGTCTGAGATGTGCTTGAGTCTGAGATGTGCTTGAGTCTGAGATGTGTCTGAGTCTGAGATGTGTCTGAGTCTGAGATGTGCCTGAGTCTGAGATGTGTTAGAGTCTGAGATGTGTTAGAGTCTGAGATGTGTTAGAGTCTGAGATGTGTTAGAGTCTGAGATGTGTTAGAGTCTGAGATGTGCTTGAGTCTGAGATGTGCCTGAGTCTGAGATGTGTTAGAGTCTGAGATGTGTTAGAGTCTGAGATGTGCTTGAGTCTGAGATGTGTTTGAGTCTGAGATGTGCTTGAGTCTGAGATGTGTTTGAGTCTGAGATGTGCTTGAGTCTGAGATGTGTCTGAGTCTGAGATGTGTCTGAGTCTGAGATGTGTCTGAGTCTGAGATGTGTTAGAGTCTGAGATGTGTTAGAGTCTGAGATGTGTTAGAGTCTGAGATGTGTTTGAGTCTGAGATGTGCTTGAGTCTGAGATGTGCTTGAGTCTGAGATGTGTTAGAGTCTGAGATGTGTTAGAGTCTGAGATGTGTTTGAGTCTGAGATGTGCTTGAGTCTGAGATGTGTTTGAGTCTGAGATGTGCCTGAGTCTGAGATGTGTCTGAGTCTGAGATGTGTCTGAGTCTGAGATGTGCTTGAGTCTGAGATGTGTCTGAGTCTGAGATGTGTCTGAGTCTGAGATGTGCCTGAGTCTGAGATGTGTTTGAGTCTGAGATGTGTTTGAGTCTGAGATGTGTTAGAGTCTGAGATGTGTTAGAGTCTGAGATGTGTTAGAGTCTGAGATGTGTTAGAGTCTGAGATGTGTTAGAGTCTGAGATGTGCTTGAGTCTGAGATGTGCCTGAGTCTGAGATGTGCCTGAGTCTGAGATGTGTTAGAGTCTGAGATGTGTTAGAGTCTGAGATGTGCTTGAGTCTGAGATGTGCCTGAGTCTGAGATGTGTTAGAGTCTGAGATGTTTTAGAGTCTGAGATGTGCTTGAGTCTGAGATGTGTTTGAGTCTGAGATGTGCTTGAGTCTGAGATGTGTTTGAGTCTGAGATGTGTTTGAGTCTGAGATGTGTCTGAGTCTGAGATGTGTCTGAGTCTGAGATGTGCTTGAGTCTGAGATGTGTCTGAGTCTGAGATGTGTCTGAGTCTGAGATGTGTCTGAGTCTGAGATGTGTCTGAGTCTGAGATGTGTCTGAGTCTGAGATGTGTTAGAGTCTGAGATGTGCTTGAGTCTGAGATGTGTCTGAGTCTGAGATGTGTCTGAGTCTGAGATGTGTCTGAGTCTGAGATGTGTCTGAGTCTGAGATGTGTCTGAGTCTGAGATGTGCCTGAGTCTGAGATGTGTTAGAGTCTGAGATGTGTTAGAGTCTGAGATGTGTTAGAGTCTGAGATGTGTTAGAGTCTGAGATGTGTTAGAGTCTGAGATGTGTCTGAGTCTGAGATGTGCTTGAGTCTGAGATGTGCTTGAGTCTGAGATGTGCTTGAGTCTGAGATGTGCTTGAGTCTGAGATGTGCTTGAGTCTGAGATGTGCTTGAGTCTGAGATGTGTCTGAGTCTGAGATGTGTCTGAGTCTGAGATGTGCCTGAGTCTGAGATGTGTTAGAGTCTGAGATGTGTTAGAGTCTGAGATGTGTTA